TGCAAAGTGTGCCCTTTAAAAGAATATATATATTCTTTTTTGTATGTGTACAACCCAAAAAAGGAGGGGAAGGAATATAGGTAAATACTATTAACTGATGGTACCTGGAGGAAATTGTAATCATTGCAATGAAACAAAATATGATTTATTGAATCTAAAATTTATAATCTACCCTGTGAACTTTCACAAAATTCACAATAAAAACTTTTTTAAAAATCGATATTGCAGGCATGTTGTTGTTGTTAGGTGCCATTGAGTCAGTATCAACTCATAGCAACCCTATGCACAACAGAACAAAACACTGCCCAGTCCTGAGCCACCCTCACAATCATTGCTACGCCTGAGCCCATCACAGCCCCAACTGTACCAATCCATCTCGTTGGGGGGCCTTCCTCTTTTTCTCTGATGTTCCACTTTACCAAACATGATATCCTTCTCCAAGGACTGGTCCCTTCTAACAATATGTCTGAAGTATGAGAGACAAAGTTTGGTCATCCTGGTCTCCAAGGAGCACTCTGGCTGTACTTCTTCCAACACAGATCTGTTTGTTCTTTTGGCAGTACTTTTAATATTCTCCCCCAATATAATAAGTTAAATGCATCAATTCTTCTACTTACTGTCTTCATTATTCACTGTTCAACTTTCGCATGCATATGAGGCTATTGGAAATACCATGGCTTGGGTCAGGCACACCTTAGACTTCAAACTGACATCTTTGCTCTTCAACACTTGTGCAGCAGATTTGCCTAATGCAATATGTCGTTTGATTTCTTGACTGCTGCTCCCATGAGTGTTGATGGTTGAGCTGAGCAAAATGAAGTCTTTGACAACTTCAATCTTTTCTCCATTTATACAGATATTGTTTGTTGGTCCAGTGGTGAGGATTTTTGTTTTCTTTACATTGAGATGGAACCCATAATGAAGGCTGTGGTCTTTGATCTTCATCAGTAATTGTTTTAAGTCCTCTTCACATTCATCAAGCAAGGTTATATCATCTGCACATCACAGGTTGTTAATGAGTCTTCCTCCAATCCTGATGCCATGTTTTTCTTCATATAATCCAGCTTCTGGGGGTTATTTGCTCAGCATACAGATTGAATAAGTATGGTGAAAGAATACAACCTTGTCGCACACCTTTCCTAATTTTAAACTATTCAGTGTTCCCTGGTTCTGTTCAAATGACTGCCTCTTAGTCTATGTACAGGTTCCTCATGAACACAATTAAGTGTTCCAGAATACTCATTCTCCACAATGTTATCCATAGTTTGTCATGATCCATACAGTCAAAAGGCTTTGCATAGTAAATAAAGCACAAGTAAACATCGTTCTGGTATTCTCTGCTTTCAACCAAGATCCATTTTACTCCATCAGTGATATCCGTCATTCCATGTCCTTGACTAAATCTGGATTGAACATCAGCAGTTCCCTGTCAATGCACTGTTGCAGCCATCTTTTAAGTTTATTTAGCAAAACTTCACTTACATGTGATATTAATGATATGGTCCAATTATTTCCACATTCCATTCGGTTACCTCTCTTAGGAATGGGCACAAATATGGATCTCTTCTGATCAGTGGGGCAAGTTTCTTGCCATAGAAGTATGAGTGTCTTCAGTGTTGCATCAATGTTTAAATATTTCTGTTTGTATTCCATCAATTCCAGAGCCTTGTTCTTTGCCAGTACCTTCAGTGCACCTTGGACTTCTTCCTTCAATACTATTGGCTTTTGATCATATGCTATCTTCTGAAATGGTTGAACATCAACCATTTCTTTTTGGTACAGCAACACTGTATATTGCTTCCATCTTCTTTTGATGTTTTCTGCATCAGTCAATATTTTACCCACAGAACCCTTTAGTATTTCAAGTTGAGGCTTGAATGTTTTCTTCAGTTCTTTCAACTTGAGAAATTTTGAGTATGTTCTTTCCTTTTAGTTTTCTAACTCCAGGTTTTTGCACATTTCATTATAATACTTGACTTAGTCTTCTTGAGCTGCCCTTAGAAATTTTCTGTTCAGCTCTTTTACCTCCTTATAGCTTCCATTTGCTTTAGTATCTCTACGTTGTTTCAGAGTCTCTTTTGACATCTTTTTCAGTGTTTTTCTTCTTTCTTATCTTCATAATGGCGTTCTGCTTTCTTCCTGTATGGTGTGCTTGATGCCATCCCACAACCCTTCTGATCTTCAGTCATTAGTGTCTAATGCATCAAACCTGTTCTTAAGATGATCTCTAAATTCAGGTGGAATATGTTCAAGGTCATGTTTTCCCTCTCATGGACTTATTTTAATTTTCTTCAGCTTCAGTCTAAAGTTGTATATGAGCAATTGGTGGTCTATGCCACAGTATGCCCCTGACCTGATTTTGGCTGGTGATATGGAGCGTTCCACCGTCTTTTCCACAGAAACATCTATTTGATTTCTGTGTATTCCATCTGGTGAGATCCATGAGTATAGTCTTCTTTTATATTATTTAAAACAGGTATTTGCAATGAATAATTCATTTGTCTTACATAATTCTATTATGTGATCCCTGGCACTTTCTATCACCAAAGGCATATTTTCTAACTTCTGATCCTTTCTCTTTGCTTCCAACTTTTGCAATCCAACCACCAGAAATTAAAAATATATCTTGATTGTACGTTTGATCAAATTCATACTGAAGAATTTGGTAGGAATTTGAATGATAATGGCATTTATTAGTCTTCCTTGTAGGCATATGGATAGTATCCTGTCACAGAAAGCATTGTACTTCAAGATAGATATTTACTTGTCTATAAACTTTCACTCAATTCACAATAAAAGCTTAATAAAATAAAAAAAGATAGATTCTGAAATGTTCTTTGTGATTATGAATGGGAAGTCATTCCTCTTCAACTTGTCATTCTCAGCATAGTAAACCATATCATAGTCTGATTCAAAATGGCCAGAACCAGTTCTTTTCAGTTCACTAGTGACTAGGATATCGATCTTTATGCGTTTCATTTCATTTTTGAAAACTTCCAATTTTCCTCGATTCATACTTCATGCTTTCCATTAATGGATGTTTTACAGATGGTTTTCTTCATTTTGAGTTGTGCTTCATCAACAAATGAAGGTCCAGAAAGCTTTACTCCATTTGCATTATCATAGTCAAATCCACTTTGAGGCAGCAGCTTGCCCAGTCATATTTTGAGTTCCTTCCAACCTGAGGATCTCATCTTCCAGCCCTATATCATGTTTCAATAATCAATATTCTGGTGCTATCTGGCAGTGTTCCACTGCCCATCATAAGGTTTTCAGTGGCATGTCCCTTGAATAGTAAAATATTTGCTTCATTAAACTATAAAATGTGCAAATGGAGGCAGAGATGATGACGCGGAATGATGAAGCGACTGGGGACTTTGGACCTAGAGAGGGAAAGGGACTGTGGGCCAAAAACTGGGGGGGAGGAGGGGGAAGTGTAGGGGGCAGGTTTCTGGAATATACCCTTTGGGTGGTTGATGATGCATGGAGGGGATTGGAGCCATGGCAATGAGATGATATGCGATGGAATGAATGTAAAACTAAAGTTCCCCCATGTAAAAACTATCATGTAATTCACAATAAAACATTTTTTTTTTAATGTGCAAATGGGAGAAGTGAGAGAAGCTAGAAAAGGTAAGATGAAAATTGTTGTTGCTGCTGTTAAGTGCTCTTGAGTCACTTCTCATTCATAGCGATCTTGTATAGGGTCTCAAGGAGTGGTTGATGGGTTTGACCCTTCCAAACTTGCCGTTAGCAGTCCAGTGCTTACCCTACACAATCAATCAATTTTTTTTTATAGTCCTGTATTGTTGCTGTTGTTAAGTGCCATAGAGTCAGTTCCAACTCATGGTGGTGGTGGTGGTGGTGGTGGTGTGCTGTGAATTCAGTTCCAACTCATAGTGACCCTGTATCTGATTTCCAAGGAGTGGCTGGTGGGTTTGAACCACCAACCTTGCAGTCCCATACTGTTGTTGTTAAGTGCCTTCAAGCTGGTTCTGACTCAAAACGACCCTGTATAGGGTTTCTGAGGAGTGGCTGGTGAATTTGAACCACCAACATTGCAGTTCACACCAACTTTGTGTTACAGTGAATTATCCCACAGTACCACAGCTGGACTCCAGCCCCATATTGTTGTTGTTATTGTTGTTACCTGCCGCTGAGTCAGTTCTGACCCATAGTAAACCCGTATAGGGTTTCCAAGGAGTAGTTGGTGAGCTTGAACTGCCAACCATGTGGTTCAAATTGACTTTGCAGTCCAGCACATTAACTTACAGTGCCACACCATACTAGGAGCATGATATTTAAGGTTTTGTAGAGAAGTTGGGAGTCCCTGCGTGGTGCTGTAGTATAGCACTGGACTGATAACTGCAAGCTGCCAGTTTAAACCCATAAACTGCTCCTTAGAACCCCTATACAAGGTTGCTATAAATTGGAATTGACTCGATGACACTTAACAACAAAAACAGAGAAGTCTGTATTTTATTCTCAAGGCAATAGGGAAACATTAAAAGTTTTAGAACAGGGACATTGCATAATAGAAAGCTGTAATGTATGAAAATTATTCTGGAGATAGTTTGTAATAGGATAGATTCAGAGAATGATTAAATATTTTTCAAGTGTGGTTCTTCAAGCAAAGGTGATGTCAAAAATCTCAACAGCATCATCTAGTGCATCACAGCATACTAATGTCCAGTTTGGAGCAAGCACCTAATATGTGACTAACCAAAAATAATGGATTAATTATAGGCATTTTTTTTTCGGGGGGGGGTCCATTTTCACCACAATTGTACTTGGATTCAGAGAACCAATGGTGGAAGAGGCATATAACTGGAAGTGAACTAAGAAACAATGCAGAAACTGGGAATAGTATTTTCTGTTGTGTTTTGAAAGTATGCATAATGGCACTATGAAGTTAAATATTAGGGATTCCCATTATTTATGGTCTGGTAAAAATTAACAAGATTCTTTTTTTTATATATTGTAGGTACAGCATCAAGCAGAGATTCTTAGGGAAGCATGGATGGTACCACAAATATGACAGTGCTTTCTGCTAATAATAACACATGCCATGACAATATTGATGACTTCCGCAATCAAGTATATTCTACCGTGTATTCTATGATCTCCATTGTGGGCTTCTTTGGCAATGGCTTTGTGCTCTATGTTCTCATAAAAACATACCATGATAAGTCAGCCTTCCAAGTGTACATGATTAATTTAGCAGTGGCTGATCTACTGTGTGTGTGTACACTGCCTCTCCGTGTGGTCTATTATGCTCATAAAGGCATTTGGTTCTTTGGTGACTTTTTGTGCCGCCTTAGCACTTATGCCTTGTACGTTAACCTCTACTGTAGCATCTTCTTTATGACAGCCATGAGTTTTTTCCGGTGTGTTGCAATTGTATTCCCTGTCCAGAACATTAATTTGGTTACACAGAAAAAAGCCAGGTTTGTGTGTGTTGGCATTTGGATTTTTGTAATTTTGGCCAGTTCTCCATTTTTAAAGAGCCACTCTTACAAAGATGACAAAAACAATACCAAGTGTTTTGAGCCTCCAAAAGACAGTCAAGCTAGAAATGATATTTTAGTCTTGCATTATGTGTCATTTTTTTTTGGCTTCATCATTCCTTTTGTTATTATAATGGTCTGTTACACAATGATCATTTTGACCTTACTGAAAAACTCAATGAAGAAGAATCTGTCAAGTCGTAAAAAAGCTATTGGAATGATCATAGTTGTAACAGCTGCCTTTTTGATCAGCTTCATGCCTTATCATATTCAACGCACCATCCACCTTCATTTTTTACACAATGAAACTCAACCTTGTGATTCTGTACTTAGAATGCAGAAATCAGTGGTCATAACCTTGTCTTTGGCTGCATCAAATTGTTGTTTTGACCCTCTCCTGTATTTCTTTTCAGGGGGGAACTTTAGAAGAAGGTTGTCTACATTTAGAAAAAATTCTTTATCCAGCATGACTTATGTACCCAAAAAGAAGCCCTCCTTGCCAGAAAAAGGAGAAGAAATATGTGATGAATAGTTTAAACCCATCTCCAGCATAAACCAATCAGAAGAATTCTCCCAAACAAGTATTTTCTCAAATGATTTCCAAAGAAAATTAAAAGTTTCATTAATAATTTTAAAATATACATACTGAAGATGTATGTCTATAAATCTATTTCACTTATGCATTCACATTATTAGAGACCATATAGATATTTTAAGTGTTACAACCTCAGTCTACAACTCTGAACTGAATTCTACATGAAATAAATGGTGCCGTTTTCATTTGTTTTATTTTGTATTGTTTTGTTTTTACCATTCACAAGTGGAGAATGTTTCTGTATTTGCACTGTAAAAAAAAAAAAAAAAAAAAAGGTCTGAAATCAAGGTTTTCTCCTCGAATAAAAGCTTAACATAATTAAAAACTAGACTTATACAAAATTTAATTAGCAAATATTTCTCAATCATCTCAACATATCCCTTTGTATGCATGCCATCAGATGAGAATTGGAGATGCCCTAGGAATGACACAAAGTATATGAGCATCCTTTTCCTTTGTAGTACTGACTACCTGGGCAAAGAAGGGCCATTTATTACAGAAAAGAATGTGCAAGTGCTAGATTAGTGTTCAGCCAAATGCCTTAAAGGATCTGTGCAATGCACAATGTGGAAAATAAGATAGAGACGCCTGGGTAAAGACTAGTTTGTCAATTTTCTACTTCTGTAGCCTTGAGTACCCAAAAGAGAATGGTTAAATTTTCTGTTAGTCACTGAGGAACATATATATGGAAATTTCTTCCAATACAGCATACAATCCTTCTGTAAGAAGTCAGACAACTGGCACTACCCTTCATGATCAGGGGTAATTTAAAAGTATCTGGGAAATAAGAAAAAGAGTTTATCACTGGAAGATTCAGAAAAATGACAAGATACAAGATCTAAACGTATAAGTCAGATGGATTCCTCTATATTAATAAAGACAGTTCTGAAAAGGAAATTAGGAAAACAATATTATTTACAATAGCCACCCAAAGGATGAAATACTTAGAAATAAGTATAACCAAAGAAACAAAAACCTATACAAAGAAAACTACAAAACACCACTACAAGAAACCAAAGGAATTTATAAAAATGGAAGAATATACCATGCTCATAGATAGAAAGACTTAACATTGTGAAAATGGCAATACTACCCAAAGCAATCTACATAACATAATCCCAATCCAGATTCTAGCAACATTCTTTAACTAGATGGAATAAATGATTGTGAACATTTATGGAAAGGAAAGAGGCCTCGGACAAGCAAAGCACTGCTTGAGAAGAAGAACAAAGTTGGTTCCCTGATCTCAAAATTTACAACCAGAGTGGTCAAAACATCCTTGTTCTGGTACAATAAAAGATACATACATCAAAGGAACATAATTGAGAACACAGAAGTAAATCCACCCACATTCAGTCAACTGATCTTTGAAAAAGGGCCAGAACACATTAAATAAAGAAGAGAGAGAATCTTTAACAAATGGTACCGGCAAAACTAGAAACTGATTTGCAAAAGTATGAAGCAATATCCATATCCCACACCATATACAAAAACAAATTCAACATGGATTAAAGACCTAATTATAAACCCTTGAACTTTAAAGATAATCAATGAAAAATGGGGACAATCTTAGTGACTCCAATACATGACATACATATACTATCAAACATTGCAAAAGACACAAAAACAGTAGAAGGCAAAATAGATGAGTGAGACTTCTTAAGAATTAGAAATGTATGGGCAGCAAAATATTTCATCAAAAGAGAAAAAAGGGAACCTACATACAGGAGAGGGAAATTTGCAATGATGACAAGGGACTAATATCTAAAATTTATAGGAAACTCTAACACCTCTACAATAAAGAGACAAATAACCCAATTAAAAGATGGGCACAGGACATGAACAGATACTTCACTAAGGAAGACATTCAGGCAGCCCATTAATATATGAACAAATGTTCACCACCATTAACCATTTTTGTTGTTGTTGATAAGTACCATTGAGTAGGTTCCAACTCATAACAACCCTGTATAGGGTTTCCCAGGAGCACCTGGAGAGCTTGAATAGCAATTTTGCTATTCAAACAGACTTCGCTGTCCAGCGCATAAATCTGAAGCACCACACTTGGACTACATGATAGAGAAGCAAATCAAATCAACAGTGAGCTATCATCTCACAACAGCATTAACAGTGAAGTTAAAAAAAGGAAAACAACAAATGCTGGCAAGAATGTGGAGAAACTGGGACGCTCCTACCTTGCTGATGGTACTGTATAATGGCTCAACCACTCTGGAAAATGATATGGCACTTTCTCAAAAACATGGAAATATAAAAACCTTATGACTCAGCAATCCCTCTACTTGGTATCTCTCCACAAGAAATACAAGCCAGGACTTGAGTAGATATATGTGCAAGAAAGTTCATCACAGGTCTATTCACAATAACAAATAGATGGAGATAGCCTAAATGTGCACCAATGGAAGACTGAACAAACAAACTTTGATACATACACACAATGAAATACTATAAAACCTTGAATAATACTGATGAAGCTGCAAAACATCTCATAACATAATAGATGAACCTGGAGGCCATCACACTGAGTGAAATTAGTCAATCACAAAAAGACAAATATTGCATGAGACCGTTGTTGTAAAAGCTTAAGAAAATGTTTCCATATTAAAAGAAACATTCTTTGATGGTTAAAAGGTGCTGGAAGGAAGGGGAGAATATTCTCTGGCTAAAGTGTAGACACATGTTAGCTCAGGTGATGGGGAGGGCAATACACAAGAGGTAGGAAGACAGAGAAACAATGAAGATAAGAGAAGATTTAAGGAGGTATGTATGGGATAAATGGGATAAAGGTGAACAGTGATTTATACACAACCTTAGACCAACAGTGTTCTGTTCTGTGAGCAGACACATGGATTGAGGCATAGGCTGAAGAGGTAAAGGAGAGGGAAGAAATGTTTGTGTTTAATTGTCTTGTGAATATTGGTTTCCCCTGCCTACTATTGCAAAATAGACATTTATGTTTGATAGGAATAAATATTGAGAATTATGATGACAGAAAGCTTGTAAGCCTGTCTTCAGCCAATAATTGATTGGATTTGCTAAAAGAGGAGTTAGAATTTGCTAGGGAAATAGGCTTCCTGTTAAGACTTTGCAAAGTATGGGATCTTAGGTCAAATTCTGAGATTTACCCAGAGCCTTCTGAATTCGGACATTCCCACTTGAAAAGACACGCAGACCAACCCAGAACTGCTGAGAGAACAGAAGATTCTTACTGAAATACAGACCTGCAGAAAAAAAGAGGGGATGGCTTGGGTGTTTGAATTTCAAGCATGCCATTTGCTTTGGAGGTATCAGTGCAAGAAAACTCAGTCAATCAGAGAAAACCCGTTTCTAGGACTGATTTGTTTATTATTTAAGTTTTTATTGTGAATTGAGTGATAGTTCACATGGGAGAACATCAGCTCTACATTCATCCTATCGTATTTTGTTTCATTGCAATGACTACAATCCCCTCTATGCATCATAATTCAACAGCATTTGCTTCCATTCCCTCTGTTTTTTTGTTTTGTTTTTTGATGTACACCAAAGCACTCAGAAATATATATTTCAAACAACCAAAGGGCATACCTGCAAGCCTGTCCCCCGGCCACTAGAACACAGTCCCTCTCCCTCCTTGAGTCTAGAGTCCCCAACCACTCCATCTCTCCACATCATTGTCTCTGCCTCCAGCTCTGGCATCGCTGTTTCTCTGGATAGGGTCCCCCACTCTGCTCTTCTCCTTTGATGGTCCCAGGGTCCTCCACTCCTGAACTGCAAGATCAACCACTCCCCTCCTTTTGTTACAAAATGTCTACCTTTACATTTGCAACCCTCACATTCAGTCCTGATACCAATTATTCACTATTGAACTGCACAAGAGTCTTATCCCCATCTCCTTTCACCAGTTCCATCTAGACACCCACTCAGTGGAGATTCTACCTTCCCCCACACCAGTGGAGATTCTACCTTCCCCACCCTCTGAAACTAAGCTCCCTCTTGAAAACTTGTAAGCTGGTCACTTTGTGCCTTTGTAGCCCCCCCCCCCCCCGCCCCATTTTGGGTAGCTAATGTCTAAGTCGCCCATCCCTGTCAACCCTGTGTACAGAGGGAGTGGGAATGATCCTTGTTGTGAAGATTTGTTTCCTCCTTTGAGCTACTGCATCCATAGGTGTAGGTCAAGTTCATCAAATTGTAACAGATTACACTTTTTTCTCTCTTCTTTCTTCCTCTAGGCAAGTTCTGATCATCTAGCCATTGAAGTTACATCAAATGGGTACTATCTGCAAGTATAGGTGTTCTTGTGCATCTCCCCTCACTTCATATCAGCTGGACACTTCACTCCCTGCTCTTAGGACTGATTTTTAAAGGGCATTTGCAAACAGTCTAATATGCTAACTGGGTCTACTTGTGAGTAGAAACGGGCAAAATGTAGCAATGAAGACATCAGCTGAGTTTGACCATATTCCATTGACATCCATTGACCTTGAGATGAGAGAGAGAACAGGACAGGACAGGGTGTCTAGTCTGAAGTTTACGAAGCTGTGCAAAGTCCTGAGTCTATGGCAGTGACCTGGCTCCTGGGGGCTAGGGCTAAGAGTGAAGCAACCAGTTGGTCCAAAGTACAAGGAAATATGCATGAACTCCCAAACTTGCAGTGAGTACTCATTTGACCTAGCTTGGATGGTTACCTAATCAAAACTCAACCAGATGAAAACAGAGATGTTTGATACTGTGCACAAGTACAAATTACTACAATTTTATGAACTAGACTTTTGCTTATGGATGCAGTTGCTCAAAATTCCAACCAGAATAGGAGGATTCTTCATCTCAAGTAATAAGCTTGCCTCCTCAGTACACTGAATTGATAGGGATGGGCAATTTAGACATTGGTTATCAGAAATAGGGGGCTATAAAGGCATGAAATGGCTGGATTGCTGGCTTTCATAAGTGTATTTAGTTTCAGAATAAGGGAGGTAAAGCAGAAACCCCACCAAATGTTTTATCTCTTTTCCAGATGGATCTGGTGAATGGAGATGGGTGATA